AATGATGTCCGGAAAAAAACCGAAATATGATGTTTTGCCCAAGTATCGTGGACATTTTCGCGTTTTGCTCGGCCATTTATGAAATTTGCACGATTTCGGCGTTTACCCGTAACGACCGTAACAACCATATGCGTAACCTATGCATAATATGTATAGTGTATACATTATGTATTCTCATATAGAACAATTATAAACAAAAATATTCACAACAATTTTAAAGCAACATTAATATTTTTTTCTACTAAAAACCAATCTTTGGTGACTACTGTATGGACATCCACATCGATATACCCTCGTGTATTATTATAGACAAAATGTTGCTCTAGTTAACATTATCACTGCTTTTTGGTAACGCTGATAAAAATACCCAAGAAATAATAAATAACACAGTTATAAACACTATATTATTTTATTGCCTATAACATATTATAGCCGTGATTAAAAAATTAAAACCTAAAAGTTCCAATAAGGAGGTAATTCACCCATCGCCCTCCTCCCCTCAAATACGCCACTGGTTTAGACAAATCACTCAACTTCAAAAAAAATAAACACATACGCATATTATACTTGAATATAATATTACACTAGTATTAAAAATTTACATTGCTATAATAATTAATATTAAACATTATACATAAGAATATTTAAATTTATAATGGGTGGGTAATTAAAGTATTTATCTGTAGTCATTAGTCATTACTTCATTAGTAATATGTAATGACTACATAGTTAACATATACTTAACGTGTATCCAAATAATTTACAAATTATAATAATTTTAATAATTATTGCATCATAATCTTAATAAATTATAATGTTTATATTAAATTATCTCGATGCAGATCATACACATGAAAGATATATTTTCTTAAAAATCTAAAAAAAATAAAAAAATAATAATAAGAGCTGAAACTGCTGATGGGTGTACACTGTTATAGATGAGAATTTGGGAAGGGAGGATACATAAAGTTATTGAATTTACACTTGCACGTAATTGCTGAAATCATTGCTGACGAAATACGATTCTGAACTACGCTCAGGTAATACATAACTTGAAGTGCCATATTTTTTTTTTTAACATTAATATTTGAAAATTTAATTAAATTATAATTTGTACTTAGTGGTAAAAGAAAAAAAAAATTGTGCATAACGAATAATAGTATTATTTTTTTGATTAGCGTTTTAAGATTATATAATTTTGAAGAAAATCGTAGGTAGGTATATCACGGATATCGATATTACGTCATTTAAAAACATGTACAAACGAACTTATACGAACTATAACTAAACTCAGAATCTCGTATTTCGTTAGCAATGGTTTATCGTTGCTTACAGATAATATAAATTAAATAATTGTACGTATCATATACCTTCATAACTTACCACCTAATTTATTTTTTTGTGAACAGAGGACTACCAGAGTTTTCTACCAGAGGACTTGCTCCGATTTTTCCCAACTAATATGAAAAACCAGTAAAAAACATGGGAAAACCGGAAAAAAATGTAGAAAAAAGGGGGAAATCGGTACATTAAACAAATATTATAAATATATAATGTCTACTTAATTGTTTTACCATAATATGACATATACATTGTTTGCAAAATATCTGTTCAGAATCGTTTTTAGGTAAGTAATTGTTAATCGTTATCCCATTATCCTATATTTTTGTTTTTGTTTTTTTTTTTTTTTTTTTTTTTTTTGTTTGTTCTGTAAACCACTTTTCAATCAGAAATCTTGCTACAAACAAAAACTATTTTTGTTTACTATAAAATGTGTATAATTATTAATTTCGCCATCAACGCATTCGGTTAACATAGAATAATAATTGTGTTGCGATGTCTACACTTTTCGATTTTTTTGACAAAAACAAGTGTTAAAGCTCATCAAAAATTATATATATACCTTTATTCAAACAACGGAAAAATATTAAAATATAATGAGCAAGTGACAATGAATGGACAGGATATACAGAATAATATATATATAGACCGGGCTTATGTGAGCCCTCGTTTCGTTTCACTGATTTCGTCACAAGTCACTAATATAATATATTATTTTGTATTGTATTTCATTAAAGTCCACGGAAATGATAAATCATTGTATTTGAAAAATAAAAATGATTTTGATCGAGGTATTTCAATTTTTTTTTTTTTTTTTTTATAATGCTAATAATCGCATATAGTTTCGAGACAATTATATATCTACACTTATATGTAGAAATGTACGGAGCGTATTGGTATTACTGTGCGTATTTTTTTTTTATATATACATATATATATATAATTTCCGTGGGAGTGGAGAGTCAATAGCGACATTATTATAGGTAGATGATGAATACACATAGGATTATGAAGCAGCTGCTATATGAAGAAGTTTGAAATTTTAGTAGTGACTGCAGCTCCTGATTCTTCTGGATTTTGGTTTTATAAAGTTTTTTCTATTTTACTGAAACTGCTTTGAAATATACCGCCTATATATCTGTTCGCAAAGATTAATCATTACTGACGAAAAATGATTAAGACTGGAGCTTAGTTAATAGTATTGCGTTTGGAAAATCATTAAACATAATGACACGAATCATGTTTGCAAGCTTGCAGCCCAAAATTAGCCCGGCACCAGCCCATACTCGGCCCGATAGCAGTCCGTTGATGATAAGGATAGGGGGGAAATGGCTCCTCTGTCCCCCAATTTTTTTAGGTGTTTATCATACTTCCATAATTACTTCATTGAGTAGCTGAGGTTTCAGCCCCCTCCGCCCCAAATCACAAACCCTATTTGTACCTGAAACGATTTACCTTTATACGTACTTGTATACACTGTTCGTTGCAAGAGCGTCTTTCAACTTTGTAAAAGGTAAGTTAACAGCTAAGCAGGCTCCAAAAATATATTCAGTAAGTTAATGTAAATCATACTATAGAGTTATCACAAATAAAAAATGTTTACACCTATATCCTGTTTTAAAAGAGAACATACCTATTACAGCTTATGGCTATAATAGTTACCGATGCAACCTTGATGAATTTTAGGTGTTCATAAGTATATCCTGCAATACTGCACCAAATGACGCTTCTATAGTTCGCGGTTTATTTTGCAGATGATGCAATTGAAATTTTTGAACGGAAGTGAACGAAATTAAACGACTACCAATGTACTCTTATTTAATATACAGAATGATTCACTAAGCATGCTCACCCACCGACAATTGAACTAAAAATAATGGGATGAGCACGCTTAGTAAATTACTTCGCTGTATATATATACATATTGATAAAATTTAACACTGGGGATATGAAAAATTTGCATTGTTGTTTTTTTTTTTTTTTTTATGTGTAACTTAGGTAAGTATATTCTAGTTATAATTATTGCCAAGTATAATAGGGAAAAAACGCGTTTGAAACCAGGAACTATTTAAGGTTAGGGGAGGGTAATTACAATTTTTCCAATACAAAATATATTCTGTACAATATGTTTAAGGGACACAGAAAGAAGGAATAATATCCCTATTATCAAATCCCTCCCTTTAGATCCGTCTTCACTGTCTTGTACCATTATTTAAGTGTTTAAAAAGTTTTCACCTTGCGTTGAATTATACATACTTGAACCTATCATGTACTATCATGACTACCGTAGAAAATTACGAACATTATTTACGAAAACCAAAACACCTATAGGTGCACAGAGAAGTTATTATACAGTCACAGTTATCATTACTTACGTATCGATTAAAGTTACTGATAAAATACCGCATTAGACAATATACGATATTATAATTAAATATTATAATATAATCGAGCACGTAATAGCGATTTGCATAGCTCGCGAGCTGCTACAATAATGCGCAACGATCGATTAGAATATTGTATTATTACGAAACACCTAACACAACCCAACCTATACAATATGTTTAGTTGTCTCGTGTTTCGCGTTTGTTAAAAACAGGGAAATAGGTACAATATTAAACAGATATTATTAAAGAAAATGTATAACGCATACATGTTATTGTTTTACCGTAATATGGGATATATTATATTGTTGACAAAGCAACACTATCAACCGAATTCCGTTCAGAATCGTTTTTTTTTTTTTTTTCGTTTGCAATGGTTAATCCTTGTTTACAGATATACGCTAAATTCCCTATAACCGTGGCTGCACCTGTCCCCATTATCCTAGGACCGTTTCTCAGTACCTGTATATAACACACGAGTACTAAATTAACTTGCATCTTCTGACCTTCGCGCCTACGACGGTATCCAACGGCAGCACCCATAACGCAACGTCCTTTTAACGCGCTTTTGAGGACATTCTATTTAAGAACTGTTCGCGCGAGAAATATATGGCCCATAATTTTCACGGCGCGTATTGCACACAACGAGATACGTTCGTGTTACAAAAAAAAACCGTCTACAAATATCGAACAAATTAGGTACACACACTCAGGACGCGCGTACTTTCCGTTTCCGTTTACATGTTATGTGCGTATATACGTATATATACCCATCTACCCAACTACCTACACAATGCCATTGTGAATGCGTCAAAACGGAACGCGGGCACCTGTGCCTGTACAGACCACCACGGTATAATTGGTATAACGATGTCGGGCATATAATGTATCGCGGCGTGTCTGCATAAAATAAAAAATGCACAACATCCGGGACAGAAAATGCCATACACGCCCGTGTACAAGGGTACCTACGCGGCGGTACGGCACGGTTCGAATCGGGCGTACGGCATAATAATACCGGCAACGTGACGCGTTTTCGAGTTTTGACCAATTGTGTTTCGGCGATGTCATCGGTCGATTAACGTACCGTTTTGCGTGATGTTTCCGTGCGAGCGCGCGGCGCGCGCTGCGTTATTGTGTTATACACGCGGACTCGTTCATGTTTACTTCCGGACGGCACGGAAGCCATTTAAAACGGCCGGTAGCGGCGGCGAGGGCTACCGACATAACACGGAATGAATACGGTTTCATTTCCTATCCGCGTACAGGTACAGGAAAAAAAAAAAAATAAAAAAAATATAACAACAATAAATAAACCAATAAATGACAGTGGATTGCGTGTTCGAAATTCATTACGATGCGCGCACGCATCAGGCTCCGGACTACTCTCTGTACCCGCGTGGACAAAACTATTCGGCAAATATTATCGGTACCTGTCCATGCCTACCTGCCTACCGTACAGATGTATAATATTGTACTGCAATCAGGTAACGATTTTTCTACCGCACGTATTTCATTCGTACGGTGCACAATACGCATTACGTTTACGCACTCATACGTATAGATTATTTTAAATATTATTATTTCACGGCCTGCAATATAGACACAACGTTTACTCGTATACCCCCAGGTGCATGCCATATATATATTATTGTGTGTACACATTTTTGTTGCTCGGTAAAAAGCGCAAAAACAATAAAGTTTGACGTCCAATCTGTCAAACCTCCGCGTAGGTATTTTAAATGTCGAGAACGTCGGACGGCATGTTTTTCCGTTAAAAACGACTCTCCTCTGTACGCCCGAATTGAATACACGGTTTTCGACTGCGGTTTCACGTTCAATACTTACGGTACCATTTATCAAAACTGTTCATGTTTGATATTCGGTATTATGTTCATTTATTAATACTTCTCGAGTATTTTTCGCCGTTTGTGCGAAATATTTTAATTAAATCACTAAGCATTATTCAGAGAGCGGCCACGTGGAATAAATATAAAATATAATGTTGAAATAAAAAACTACGAAATATCAAGTTATTGTGATTTTAAACACATTTTTTTTTTCTTGTGTTTTTATAGCAGTGTGGACATTTAACCTATCTTATATTTCGGACATTTTATGCGTATGAAATTATAAATTCTAGATGTATCATCAAAGTAAATCTAATTCATTGGACATGTTAATTACTAGATATATAATTATGGGCAATTTAACCGGTACCGTATTTTTATTATTTTTTTTTAAATAGTGTTAAGTATCTTCTTTAATGAAATTCGTTGGGATTTCGTTTCATTTTTGATACCGTGTACCAACGTTTGTCTGGACATTTTTATGAAAATCGTTGTATTTTATGTAATAGCTTGTAGGTAATTTAATATAAAATATCGAAAAAAATAAATATTGTTTAACACATTAATATATTGAACAAATTAATAATATTATGATGTTTCACTAATGGTTATTGGTAAATAGGATTTTAATTCTTGTTTTTTTTTTCAGAGTGGTTCGGTCACACGTGTCTGTATTAATAAATTATAGTAACTGTTCATTTTAGACTGATTATTTCCTGCTGACGCTATCTGCGTTTTACTGTGAAGAAATCGTGGCTAATTCGAAATTAATAGATTCAATTGAACATAATAATAACATGTCTTGTATAATAAATTCACAGTGAATTAAATACTTAACTACAGTCCACACGATTCGACAATAATTGACATTCAATTACAGCAGGTACCTGTCAACTAGACGGTTGAAAACGATTTCGTAAATTGTTCAGTCATTTACCTACTATAGCGAAACACGGAATTTTGAAGTTTATTATTGTTAATAAAATAATAAAATAAAAACGAAATTATTAAAATGGTTAACTAATTATTTAAATGACCCAACTATAATTTGTATACTAAACGAATTAATAAACTGATAACACATTCAAAAGAAATCATATCTAAAGCCCAAGAGAAAATATTATTAAAATCTGATTACAAAATAGAGACTCCACACTTACATCCATTCATAAAATTACATAAACAAGATAATCCAAATCTTCCATTAATGAACTTTAAAACTGCTCCAGCTTATAACCTTGTTAAATATTTAGACCCTCTCATAAAAGAAAAATTAAACATGAACATTGATACTTCTAAAAAGAAAACTTATGATTTTTTTTATTTTTTTTTCTATGTATTTCTTCATTTAATTTTTAATATTCAGTCGCGTTTTACATTTTGACTGTGATATGCCTGATGATGAATTTTAAATTCGAAACCGGTCGTATAATTATGGTGACCAAAAAAAAGTAAATTTTAAAATTTAAGTCCTCCATTGTAAAAAAAACCCATCCCTTGAAAGAATTGGCCAATGTGTATTGTGTATACTATTCTACCCGTTTTGCCCACAGTTTATCTCCATCTATATATATTTTTGTTTAATCTGATTACGGCATAATTTCAACTATTATTTTTTCTATTATCAACTATAAAAACTAATTATTTGAAATCATAACGTCAACTCATTTGGTTTGTATCTTTATGATGAAAATACTTTGAAATTTAAGTAATTTTAAGTAAACTTAGAGTATGCATGTATAACTCAAGTCAGTCACTTGCAGACATTTGGAATGCATTATGTCGAACTAAAAAATATTAAAATATAAATGAATAATCAAATAATACAAAATCATAAAAATGTATTAGCCAGTAATATTTTCAAAAAAAAAAAAAAAAATGAACAATTTCATGTACTTCACACTATTGTTAAGGACATAGGACAACGCATTAAAAAAGAGTACTGTCCTACGAAAAAGAGTACGTCTGGTCACCATACGTATAATACACTTATCATAATAATCCAGGCGATGCATTCATTTATTTATTTTATTTTTATACGTACATTTTTTTATTAATACATTTATTTGCTATATTTAATATTATTATTAAAATGGCTACATACGAGTTGCGGCGATTTTTGAGATAAGCAGATGCCAAATAATATAATTATGGTGACCAGACGTACTCTTTTTCGCAGAACAGTACTCTTTTTTGATGCATTGTCCTATGTCCTTCACAGTAGTGTTGAGTACATGAACTTGTATTTTTTTTGTTTTGAAAATTATAAATATAAATAGTTTTGCATTTATTTATTTATTTAAATGTTTAACTTTAAAAATTACTTAGGTAATAACAAATTACTCAAATTTCAAAGCACTTTCATCATAAAAACACAAACCAAATGAGTTGACATTATGATTTAAAATACCTAATTAGTTTTAATAGTTGATAATAGAAAAAATAATAGTTGAGTAATTAGATAAAAAAAAAATCTATTTAGATGGAGATGAGCTATAGAGGCGAAATGGGCAGAATAGTATACACATTGGCCAATTATTTTAAGGGAGGGATTTTTTTTATAATAGAGGACCTAAATTTTAAAATGTCTTTTTTTGGATTTTTATATCTGGTCACCATAATTAATATAACAGTTGCAGTCACCCCGTTTACAGTGTACCTACCTCTCAGTTGCGGATACGCGTAAAAAATTTTAACTTAAAATGTCCGAATTTTCGACGATCTAACTGTTCTTAAAACAGTGATTTTAGAACACAACATTTCCAAAGTATGTTGTTAAAATGTTTTGAAAAATAAAACTCGATATTGGAATTATCGCAGTTTGTATACATCGATTAAATTATTCGTTCAGTTTTGACGAACCCATATCAAAATGAATAAGTAGGTAATTAAACTGATATCTATTAGGTATAACTTATATATTATATGAACTTCGCTTTATCTATAGGTACCTATACCTATATGAGCCTCAAAGATTAGACACTATCATTCTATAACTCGAGAACAATATATATTATACATTTATTGTTTAACTTACTCGATAATATTGTATTATACGAAAATAAATCTAAATTGTGTAAATGATTGCATATTTATTATATTAACTGTTGTATATGTGCATAGGCATTAAGCATTATTCTTATCGATTTTAAAAAAAATCCACAAGCCTTGAAACTTCCAAAAACAACGCGTGCGGCTTATTTACCTACTCGCATAGTCTATATTACAATCATTATGAGATTATATTGTACGGATTTACGTATGTGCAGTTTAAAATAACTATTGAGAATATTTCGTTAAAATTAAAAAAAGCGTAATTATTTTAGTACAATAGCGATACCTATTATAGGCGCGCGCAGAGGTATTTGGCAGGCGCCTGGCGTAAAATCATCATAGGTGTATCATAATTGTCACTATACACTTAAATAGTGATTATAGTGCATTATTATTATATTTAGTTCACCGCAATTGCACTGTTTTTTAAAATAAATTATTACAAACAAATAAACGTAGAAATAATTTCCAATTAAATATTTTATTAATGAAAATCAAATTTAAAATGTCCACATCAGTCACAAAAGTAATGCTAACTTATTGAGAATGTTTTTCTCTCAACACATTTATTAATAAAATAACTAATAAGGTTTGAAAATAAATTACACTCCCACTCCCAAATATTATCCTACGCTTGTGCCTGCTAAGTAAAACTTAAGCAAACAGAGTCTACAGATTATGTATAATCTAATAGATACTAAAGTTTTATCTTTAATAAAAATAATTTGAGTTTTTAAAATTTCATTAAAAATTTCTTAGAGACTAAATAACTAAAGCGTTTCCCTGGCCTTCGACGATTTAAACTAAAGGGGGCTGATAATTTTACCTTGAATAAGAAGGGAGATTCTACCCTCCCTTTAACTACTACCGTTTGAATGTATAATATTATTATTATATTGTCTGTACAATATTTAAAAAAAAAAAAATTAACTAATTGTTAGAATCATAGTTCTAATCGATGCTATTCACCAGGTATTTTGTAGTAATGTTTAAATTCATCAACCACGCTATTACCAGCTATGAAACTTGCAAATTCTTGATAACAAATAAAATAACCAAATAAATTAATAATGAAAGTGTGTATCAGGCCGATCATGGGTCATCTTAATTTAATTTTTAATAAGTTCATTTTTAAAAAAAACATTCTAGGATAATGGAAACGGGTGCAGCCACTGTTATAGGTAATTTGATGTATATCTGTAAACAACGACAAACCATTGTTTACGGAAAAAAAACGATTCCGAGCGGAGTTCAGTTGATTGTGATGCTTTGTCAACAATATATATGCCATATTATTTTAAAATAATTAAACAGGCTTTATATATTATCTTTAATAATATTTGTTTAATGTACCGTTTTTCCCGGTTTCGCCTGTTTAACCCCGGTTTTTCACATTTGCTGGGAAAATCAAAAAAAGACCTCTTTAAAGTACCCCGCTAGTGAAATTTCCTTTTAGAAACATTACTATCATGAAATATTGGAGCAAAATTGCTTGTAGAAAAATAGTGCACAGAAAAAAACAAGGCCGTAATTTATATTAACTTATACCTAAATTTCTTACATTTTCTCGGTTTTTTTCTTTTAGGTTTTTCAAATTTGATGAGAAAACTCTTGAGGAAATCGAAAAATTACCTACCTAAAGTACCTCCCCAGTGAAATTTTCTTTTAGAAAAATTGCTATCCTTGTAATTTGGAGCAAAATTGCTGGTAGAAAAGTTGTCCACAGAAAAAAAAAAAAAATATTTTTGTAAAACCATAAGCTTCTTCGTTCCACTTAGAATCTAAAAAACAATCGCTCACAAATTGTTATTTGTTACAAATAACGATAATACTTTAAATTGATTTTACACAGATAAAAACAAGTTTAACCAAGATCTAATAGACTTATTAAACTTTCCATTTGAAGTCTAATAAGTTATTCTTTTGGTAAATATTTAGGTAATCTTTTTTTCATTATCTAGTATACTATTATGCAACATGCATTTTGTAGAGAATATTTAAATCTGACATATTTATTTCCATTTTTTAAAAGTATTTTTATAGATATTGATGTTATGATTTTTCTTTTTGATAATCTTGATTATATACTTGTTTCACAGAGGACAAACAATAATGTTAATTTATAGAAGCATATAGCACTAACTTTGGCTTGCAGGTTAATATATTTATAAGTTTACAGTAGATATTATACCTACTTTAAAAACAATATGAACTATTTTTTTATAATACTGGCTATAGGAAAAAATGAAAAAAAACTTACCTACCTATTTGTAAACTTATAATATTATTAGGCATGGCTTGGATCAGGGATTGTAACTTTTATGTTTTTATCGGTTTCGAGTTCGTTTCAATTTTTCAAAAACAATTTATTGAGATTTGAGGTTTCGGCTTAACTTGTATAAAACCTATTGATTTCAGCTATGCTAACCAAAGCTCTAATTTACCCAGAGCTTCCAATGAAATTCGTGAGCTTGGTTTTATGTCCTTCACTGAGTCCTAATCTCCATATCGAGAAAGCCTATTATAAAAATCTGAAAAGGTTGGGTAAATTCCATAAATTGTATTTAGTAATCTTAGCTGACCGCAAACTTTCTACTAATATTAACTTTTTGCAGAAATTTAAACCGAAATACATAATCTACTAGGTATTACGTAAGTACCAATCAACTTGGTTTTTAATTTCTATGTTACATATAGATTTCGTAATTTGATAGTTAAATCATAATTGTTTTATAGGTAATCTGTACTGAAAATGTGTTACATTTCGTGACATTTTAAAAATAATAGGTACGTAGTTTACTGGTACTTTTTGCTAGTAACGGACTAGAGTGCCATAATATCATTATCAACTTCACATATTAGGTAGGTAGGTACTTAAATAATATCGAAATATTAATACTAAAATTAAAACAATTAGAAATATTTAGTATTAGTTTTTAGAATCGTTATCATCCTATAGGTGATTTTATGGTATGGATAGCAATGTAACTATAAATAAATTGATTTAAATTAAAGGGATGGTGGTGTATGCCAGACAATAACAATATAGGTAGTATTTCAATTGTGATTATTTTTATGGATACAAATTGCACAAATTTGAGGGGTCCAGACTGCAGACCCAAAACTGGGGAGATTACAGAGGTATACAGAGGTACACCTCTAAAATATGTTTAATCGCTATGCTTGGTTTCAAATAGGTATAACACTTTTACCTATTTACAATATAGGTATCTTAACAAGAAAACCTACCTACTATACATTTTTAAAAATGTAATATTGTCTATTTCAACAATAGTATATAACATTTAAGAAGGTATGTTCAGAACTATTTATTATATAGAAATATTACACACATATAATTCAGTATTATTATTCATTAGTTTACATTAGGTATGTCTTTAAAGCATTTATATATGTCATTATTCTTTAGAAATATTTAATTTGATGAATGTACAAAAAAAATAAAACAAGTTTTGGGGAACTGTTGATATTTTTGGGGTAATTAAGCTCACAAAGCTCCCCTCCCCTATTTGCACTTATGATTATTGTTCATTATCATTGACTAGCATGGTAGTTTTTAATTTTATTATTTTCAATTTAATTTACAAAAAAAATTATGAAGTTAATGGTACAGAAAAATCATGTTTTAAACGAGTTGGACTATTAAAACAAGTCACTAATGATCCAGAACATATGAAACTACATATTTAATTTTTTTTCAATTCTATTCTTTTTTCGTCAAGTTAAAATATTTGTACTTAAATCATTAAGATTTAAATATTGAAATTAATTATTAAGGTTGTCATAAGTTATAATTAATTTATCACAGGTAATTTTTTTTTTTTACAATTTACTATATTTCAAGTAGGTAATAAATGTTACTATAATTATTAATTTATCACCAACTACCTTTATAAGCCTAATGATTAGTTTCAACTGTTGTAATATTATCCATAGTATATTTTTAACTAGCTAGGTAATTATTGACAAAAGATTATAGAGTTAATATAATTAAATATCAAATTGTATTTTGTTCAATTATATTGTATATTATACCAAATTTAAACTGCATTGATTATATTATGTTATGCTTCCATTCTACGTTATAATCAAAATATTAATTATTTATGGACCAAATTTAAATTCATGTTAATATTTTTCAATTGTTTGGTATCTTTAGATATTATGTTACTTATTTTGAATTATTACACATTCACATACTTTTATTGATTTAAAGTTAAATATTGATATTGGATATAAAAAAAAGGGGCCCTAAAAATTTTTTTTGGGTTCCTTGTTATTATAAAATATTTAAAAGAGATATAAAATTTCATAATTTTACTGACTCATAGAAACTTTTAATAAATAATACAGGATTTTTAAATTTGAGTGTAGTATTGACTGAAAGAAAATTTGAAAATACTAATTAGGTATAAAAATGATTGTGTTGATATACTTAATAAAAAAATTGTGTTTGTAATGTTCTCTTAATATTATTTTAGTGATTTGCAATGTAGACCTACTCAAAAATGTATTAAATATCCAATTTATTCATTATATATTAAGTGGGTAGTAATTAATAAATTATAGTATAATTGAATGTTTTTATAGTTATAATGATCTATTTAGATTTAGGTTTTCAATAGTGTTTGACTCATCAATTTATTTGGGTTTCTTGATGACTGGACCTTGACATGATTTTAATATGGTTCGTTGTTAATGAAACCTTGATAATGTTGATAAATGGTCATAAAGTATATTAATGCAAACAGTAAGTACCAAGTTTATTATAAATTATCTTAATATCTTATAATAAATTGATTTGTATAATTAGTTAGGTAGGTATCATTTCATACTTAAGAAATTTAGTATACTATCTGTATAATCTGGTATATTGATATAGTACATTTTAATTTTAAAATATTGACTAAGTAATTATTTGATACCTACATATCTAGGATACAAAATAAATAATTAAAAGACATTGTTTATTTTAATTTATATTTTGATTTGTTTAATTGTATGTATCTATCTATTTATTATTATATTTAATTTTAATAATAATTAATAGAAATTTGTATTTAAGAACTGATACACGAGTTGAGTTTGATAGTTCAGATTTTTAAGATGAATGTAAGAAAATTTATTCATGGATTACAAAATGTAGTTTGGTTGTTTTAATGATTTGGCCTGGATTACTAAAACTAGTCAATTATGTGTTATATATCTTTTGCATACATGTAAATGTTTTTAAAGTTATACATATGCATTTAAATATATTTGAAAATATCAATACATTATATTTTATTATTTTAATGTTGAGAAAATTACTTGATTATAATAATGAATAATACGAATATGATAAAAAACCAAAATTATTGTTTTAGTATCTATTGAAACTAGTTCTTTGTCCTCAAAGGGAAAACTTAAATTATATTAAACAAACACTATTAAAAATATATTATTGTTTTCATGGCACCTTAATATTGATACCATAATAGTTTATTTATTACCTGCTTATTAATAATAATAATTATATTAGGAGTACTATCTATTAAATAACATATAACAATAAAATATTTTATTCAAAACATAATGTAACATCATAACTAATAAATATATTTTATACATAAAACATCGGATACTTGGTAAAAAATATAAAACATATACTTTATGGTGACATTTTTGCTGACGAGGTAGGGGAATGACTTTTAGATTCTTTTTCAAGAACAGTCTCAATTAAATTTTGTAACGTCTGAAATCATACAAATTTAAATCTATAAGTATTAAAGAAAATAGTATCTAAACAGAATTATGTAGAATATAATTATAAATAACAATTGTTTCAGATTGTCTGAGTATATTTCAAAAGTAATAAATTATGTTATGAACATTTGTTTCTATTTTAATATTAGTTATTATATTTGAAAATAATGACTTCAATATAAACAATTTTTTATTTATATTATTTATAGAAATATGAATAAACACTAATTTATTGTCAAAAGGTAAATAATAATTTTAAAATAATAAAATAATTACTTGGGGTTTACAGTGTTCTTCAAGCCAACTGAACACGCATGCAGACAGTTCAGTAAAATTATTAACATTTATGTTACAAAATGTAAAAAATAATTCATCCATAATATTCTGAAACTATAAATTATTATTATATATTACAAATTGTTTGACGCTGTAAACAAATACAAAAAAGGAAACATTTTTTGCACAATTAGTTAAGTAATAATCATTAGAAATCATACAAATTTGTTTTGTTATATAATTAATTTTATTGACAATTTTGTATTAGTAATTCAACTCAATAAGATATATAAAATGATTCATTAAAATCTAGTAAGGACAAATCATAATTTCAAATAGAAATACTTTTTTTAAAATTTATTTTAATTTATATCTAATATAATATTTTTCTAGTAATTTTATTTTTTTAGTAATTCAATATTATTGAGTGATATTGTATGTCCTATATAAGGGAACATAATATATGTCAGAATTTTAAATTTTAAGTTAATTTTTTACAGCATTTTCATTTTGTAGCAAAAAATTTGTTAACTTTTTTTTATGTCTTTTCTGTAGATTTTTAGTCCATCATTTTCCTAACCCTATTCATCAACTAGTTAGTAAAAAATGATTGAAATATGTAATAATATAAATTATACAGTCTAATTATACTGATAATGATTAATAAACAATGAGATTTTTGATAAGATATTACTGACACAATTTGTAACATAGAAAGGAGTTTTATACATATTATTTTTGCATATGTGTTTATATTTTACATAATTTTTTTTGTACTTTCTTGAACTTATCAGCAAAATATATTTATTTAAATATATCTATAATAGCTATTAAAGTTACCATTTGAAATTTGTCTTCATCTGGAATTCTAGTTTCAATATGGCCCATTGGAATCTGTTGAGCTTTTACCATTTGTTCATAATTAGCTTGCATAATTCTTAACGCAACAACTTCTTTCCGCAAAGCATTACGTTCATCTTCTAATTTCTTTTTTTGTAACAGCAAGTACTAATTATTAAATATTATAATAATATTAATAGTGTCAAATCACAATTAATGGCAATAGAAAGACAATTTATAATTTATAATTCATCATTACTTTAAATCCAATGATAAAAGAGAAGAAAAATATAATTATAAATCAAAATAATATATTGCATCAAATATAATACTACCAGCTAATGATTCAATTAAAAGTCAATATTGATCAAATATTAACATTAAACAGTTGTCTATAGATATTACTTAAGAGTAGGTACACAGTAGAATATTAATAAGGCATAGGTGGTTATATTATATATTAATCAAAATGTCAAACAAGAAAACTTATACTACTTAGTAATAAAATTCTGATTCAATAAAAAACAATCTGTATGAAAACTATTATGAAGTTCAGTGGGCACACATTAACAATATTATCAATATAGACATTAGACACATAGGCTAATGTTGTCACAACTACACATGTTTTCATTTCAATGTGATTGATTAATATCAATGACAATGAACTCAGTAATGAAAACTAATATTGAAACATTAAAGTACTTGTTCATTATGATAAACTTGTGATTAGCGAATAACACATATTAAACATGACTATAAATAAACAAAAAATTAAATATAAATAAAGTATATATATATATATATATATATATATATAAATGTATATTGTTATTAATTTTTTTTTTTTGATATTTAGTACAAATCTAATTCATTTAAAAATTATTTGTAATATCATTGGCCGAAATTCTACAAAAAACACACAATACCTAAAATTCCAGAATCTATGAAATTAACATGATATAGTTTAGGTATGTACATGAAATCAATTATTAATCAATATATTTAGTTTAATTTATGTAAGTAAATTATATTTTTTAATAAAACTGTTTATGGTTTATACTTAACTAGAAATCTAATAATTAATTAAACATACAAATTATAGTTCAATTTCTTATGTTATTTAAAATGACTAAATTTAAATTTAATTATTCAATTAGAATTATCTTTCATATACATTTTTAATTGTAATATTTTATTTTGTATTTTAATATTTAAGAAAACGATTCAAAAAAAAAAAAATCAAAAATCGAAATAAAAACTTAATAGTTATGGTCTTATGAATTATATGATTATTATACTGCATATGCAATGCCACATAGGACATTTTTAATAAAGAGGTATTTCACAAATGATTCAGTGTAAGTAAAACATGAGAGGTTTTTGTTTTTTTATTTTTCATTCATTATTTCATAAAGATAACACATAGGAAATATTATGACATGATAGTTTATTTTTTTCTGAATCGGGGATATCAAAACCTCAAAATCAAACATTTTGCATATAGGAGGTTTTTCAATATAATAGTATATTTATAGAACCAGATAAAATATATTAGTTGAAACATACTTGTATATAATCTATAGATTTTTGTAATACTGTTGCTTTGCTAAGTTTATAACCACTGCTATCGGTTTGCTGACAGGTGGGTACTAAATCTTGTAGGCAATCATACCCCTTTTTAATGGCATCGCGACGTTTTTGTTCGGCTTGAGTGTGTGCTTCTCGCCGTCTTTCTTTGTAATTATTTGGTGAACCTTTTTCTTCACTATCATCATCTTCTGGAAAAACGAAGTTTTTTGTTAAACATTTTAATATTAAAGCATTGATAAATTTGAATAATTACAATAAAAACTAAATATTATAACTACAATACTACATATATAGATAGAAAGAGGCAAGCTACTAAATAATAATAATAAAAAAAAATATGCTAGTTTAAAATATTCGAAGAATTATACAATGCAGACATGAAATGTTTTGAAGAACAACAAGAATTAACTTACAATCTTACTAGTCTACCTTATTGGTACACCCACAAGTAAATATGAAGAGACCCGTTATATGGACTGTGATACTACTGACATCGACAATCTAGACGGGCCAATATTTTCATCCTACACTAAACGTATAACTCATCTGGTGTGAGTTGTTTATGCCGAATTTCATTTATGATGAAACATCTGCGCGTCAGGAATTCTTGCAGTGAACTATAAAAATCAGGTTTAAGCAAAATAAATTTAACCAGATCAATTATTATATGAAAAATAATTGAACAGTAATTGTATTAAATGTATCTTTTAAATAATAGATAAATCCAAAAAAGTTCAAATCAGAATTAAATAAAATAAATTAGTTGTTCTTAAAATTAAAAAAATTGTTTGGTTTTAAAATTAAAATTTTTCATTTTAACTTGTATAAAATTAATCGTAATATTAAAAATTAAATATTTATTTAACAAAATATTACTATACCATGGCCACTACTACTACTTTGATTTCCAGCATGAAGGGAACTTCCACTACTAGATCGACTAAATGGATTTGAATTCCGTATTGGACTAGACGGTTCAACTTTCATATCTAAAAGGAAAAAAATTAATTAAACATAAATAAATAAATTTGAATCTATTACAAAATGTTTAATATTAATTTTAGTAGGTGGTAGATAAATAAAACTAACTTAAATATTAATTATTAATTATAAAATGAGAATATTTAACAACTCACCATCACTATCTCTAGAATCCATAGTTTATTTTTGAAGATTTGAATGATACAAATAATTTTATCACTAGAAAAAAAAATAGGTAGGTATATTAATTAATTATTTGGTATTTATTTCATTAAGGCCTAAGTTAAAACCACATATAATAATTATACATCAAATTAAATTTAAATGCTGACAGTGGCAGTGTTTGAAGACAGATGGGAGGGGAGGTGTCATTAGATTATAACCCCCATAAAGGGTTTTTGACAATTTTTTTGAACTTTGGAGTATTTTAAAAGTACATATTATTTGACAAATACCTAAAATTGTACGTATAATAGTAGTTTACTATTGTATCATTAGAAAAAAATAAAAAATGTGTTTTTTTCGAATATTGTTATACCTACTTATTAATTTATGGAAAATCGATTGGTTTTAGGTCAAATAAGATGTGTGTTACTGAATGAATTGCGAAATTAACTTCTCCCCTACTCCCAAATTTGTTCACTGATATTTACACAGGTAGATAGGTAAATATTAAACGTGTTTTAATTTGAACTGCTGAGAGTGTACAACATAGTAATAATTATTTTGGCTAACTATTGGTAATTATTTGACCTACCTATTGAAAAAAAAAGAATTCTATCCGATAAGTTATATAAAAATAGTAATTGCAGTTTGGTAAAATATCGACTGAAAATTAGAAAAAAAAAAACAGATATACCAAGGTAGTTAGTTCAATTTATTAGATTTGTATTTTCCTTCTAGGTTTGTACAAAGTACAACACAGCGGTTATTAATCCAGGTGGGGGGGAGGGGGTTTTGATAATTTTTTGAACGATTAACTAATACATCATAAAATATGAATGGTTAATAAAACCCATTAAAAACTGTGGCATATTTTCGTGAGACGTGTAACGAGAGGAAAGAAGTCGCACAAAAAATAACACATTGAAATTGAGGGCGTGAGGTTTTCACGTATCTGAAAATGTGGTGTGCAATTCATAAATCGCCCCTTCCCTTTCGCATTCCACCAAGAGAAATACAAAATTTAGGTAACTAAACGCTAAATATGACGTCATAATATTCATAATACCTGGGTAGGTATACGGTATACGTAATAATAATATTATGAAATTTTTTATTGACATACTGATAAGAATATAAACTGCTGTATTGCACGTCTATAATATAGCTGCCGATTTTGATCAGGCCGTGTCCCTCCTTAAAAACGAACGTTACCGCACATCGTTATTATAATTATTCAAACGGTAGGTATTCTCCCACCCTCCCGCTATCAGAGCCACAGCTGTATTCGGGCGGCGGTTCTTAAATATTATAGATAAAGAAAAAGGAAAAAAAAACAGCAGCAAAAAAAAAAAAAAAAAAAAAAAAAAAAAAATAAATAAATAAAAATAACAGTTACTACCAGCTACTTACCGGGTATAATGATAATTGGATAACGCGCCGGGACGATATCGCCGCGCGCACGCCGACTTTGATGACGATGATCCCGCAGTACGAACAGCCGAACGGTTCAGTTGGCGGGCGTCGTAAGAATACGGCCACGACGGTTCGCGGGAAAACGCATGGCCCGTGATCGAGTGAGCGCGCGCGCGCGAGCGCGTCCGCCAGTTTCTGTGGTAACCGCGCAGACGACCGTGGTTAGTTGCGTCCGTTGTCCGAAGGAACGCCGCCGTCGTAACCCGATTGTCTTTATCGCGCCGGCGTCGAGCGGACGGCATGCATTACGGTTCGATAGGGTGCGCGTTTCGCATAACGCGTCCGTAATAATGACGTGGTGAATGGTATAAAGTTACGGGTAACGCAACAAACGCTATCGCGTTCGATTAGCGGCGACCTCAGACCGTAGGTAACTCCGTGTTAACGGGTATCACGACCTACAGGAGACGGCGGCGGACGTCGCGGCGCTGGCTAGGCGGTCCCTGGCCGCCGGGTCGCGGCTCGCGCGAGCCGTCGTCACACTCGACCGTCATCGGCGGCGCGGCGATAGTGGTGGTCAACGTGTGCGCGTGCGCGCGGTACCCGCCGCCACGAGTTACCGGTCCGCGGTGCCGCCGCCGATTGCCAGACGGATTTCATTATCGTTCCAACGTCCACCGCCAAAGGCACCTACGCCACGCGCCTGCGATTTGTTTTTATCGTAACAATAATAATTATCAAACATTTTTCCTTATCTACCTGACGGCTCTCGTTTTCGTTTTCGTCCACGACCTCCCAATGCGACTGTGTTCCGGATAACCTATTGACACCGCGGTTGTCGGACCATCACGATTATCGTTATTGTTCTAAAACGCCCATTAACGTTTAACGATCAATCGCGGCTGTCGGCCACGGCCTAGCCGACAAATAAAATGATCGGTAATAATACACGAAAACTCAAATTTCCACAACTTTCAATTTATCTTGTTCGATCGGTGACAAGGCGCCTTTTTTTTTTTTTTTTTTTTTTTATTGCGATTCGGATCTAGTCGGAGTCGAGTCGGAGTGTAAGTAATTCGTTTTTTGATCTCCTAAACAGTTCGTTAAATGGGTAACTGAGCGAAACCCGAAAAATGTTGTAAAAACGGGAGAGTTTACGGAAATAATGGTTTCGTTATTTCCAATTTTTCCGTTTGTTGTAATTCAGTTTATAATTTTCGACGGATAACTTGTATTTGTCTTTTGTATACGCAGTAGAACTTAAAAAACATCCGAGCGGTTTTCGAACCGTTTATTACGTAGGTATTTTATGTTTGCGTAAATGTGTACGCATATCTGCTTTTTATTTATTAGGTGCTACGTGAATACCATTGTTTGATCTAATAGATATGCTTCAAAATTTAACAGGATGTTCGTTTTAAATTGTACTCTGCGGCGAGAACAGAAAAACAAGACCAAATATTCAAGACTATATAAAATATTAAAATCAAAAAACACTTCGGGCGTTTATTCTGGACTTGCTCAATTTTACGGAGAAACTACATTGAAAACATAAACCGTCTTATCGGATTTTGCTCTGAATCATTTTTCGTTCGCAATCGTTTATCGTTGGGTACAGACACAAATTAAATAACTCAATGTATTTTCGGTCAATTTTTTGTTTTAAATTATATTTACTTACAAAAATTGCGCCTAAACGAAATGTGTAGTTGACCGTTGTAACGGTCGTGTAAAAAGTACCGCGGGGAGCGTACCTCCAATGGGTCTTTGACGTGTCCGTAATTTTAGCAGCCCCAGAGTCGGGCCTACGTATACAGGCAATTTTGCCGAATTAAAGCGTAGAGTATTTTTATTGACGTATCTGCTATCGACTATAATACGTTTACATATTAACGCATTTTATACTATCGCGTTTGTTTAAATTTCCGGACAATAATACCTACTCGTCATTAAACCCACGCTCCGCTCAAAGGTGTTGTTGAGTTTTTGTACCACCCGTGTTATTTCGTTTTGACTTACGTGCTTATGATATTTTACACGCGTAATAATATATTGTTTGTTCTGATAACAATATTATCGAGTAGGCAATTTTTGTGTATTTAAGTTCAATGTAAAATAAATAATCAGTATCGATATTGGTTTTCAAGTACGTATTATATATTTGAACGTGTGACGGTTGAAAAAATACGGAATTAAATACGAAATTTGTCGTATTCGTGATTATAATATTATGATAACGTTGCGCCAACGGATTTCCAGTCGATTTTCGTTTTCAGAGCCTATTGACATGTTTTGCATTCCACGAACGCACGCGAAAAGACGCCCCTGCCGTCACCGCGCAAACATTTTCGGTTGTATTTAAAATTCGTACGAAGATAACGTTGTCGTGTAATTAATTTTTTTCCGAATGCAGCGATAAGAATGATTGTAAATATGCTTTGTAGCGTTTGAAGTAGCTCTGTATACCAGTGGTTTTCAAAACTTTTTTTGACCACGGCACATTTCGCTTTTCACGACGTTTTCTTGGCACGCTGTGACCCTTTTTTTTTTTTTCTTATCATTGTTTAATATTTTGCACAAAATTAGAACTAATAACGAAATTGATGAGTCGCAATCAAAACAGTTACGATTTCATACTTAACGGACCACCGTCACCGGCGCGGTCCGTCACAATTTAATGAAAACAAATTTCAAAAGACCGCGGCACACCTAGTGAACGCTTCTTGTTAGAAAACCACTGATCTACACAATTAAAATTAAAGTAGTAGCGGCTGCGATAGCGAGCCAAGTTTTCTTTTGTAATTGGCCTTTTCGAGACGGATTCACACAATTGCCGCCCCTGAGCAAATTTTATATTGTCGCCCCAATGTTAAACTCATCAATAAGAAGACGAATTTTGAAGTACTTATTTAACATAACTATGAAACAAACAACTAATAAAAAAAAACTAATCGTTTAAACTGTTCTAATAAAACCAATAATTTTTATAAAATATAGTGTTTACTCATCAGTAACATCCGAATTTTAAATCTATTCGCCTTGAAAGTCGTGTTGAAAATAATCGAACGTCTAATCAGAATAAACACATGGATAATGCCTATTCTCTACTCGGCCGCCCTCTATTTCATAATCGCGAAGAAAAATATTATTGCATACAATTTTATCTTTCGGATAGAAAAAAGTCTTATTTTTGTACACGTAGTGTGCAATGACCAACATTTGATAAATATGCATGCAATCAAATTAACTTTTGGATTATGAAAATGTGTTACTATAAATTATAGGTGAGTAGTTTTCTTCAATTGTAAAGATTCAAAATTGCCTTATGCTCGTAAAAAAAAAACTGGTATTCTCAATAAATATTTGCGTAAAATTGCCGCCCTAGGCAACTGCCTACTTTGCTTGACGCTAAATCCACCACTGTAGCCTTTGCTATAGTGTTCTACAGAAAAAAAAAAAAAAAAAAAAACCCCGTAGCATCCCGACCACCGATTATTATTATAATTTTGTACACATTGTAAGACTCAACATTTGGATTTTAAAACCGATATTCTAAATATCCGATTTCAAAGTCCGTTACACGAATCTTGAAACCCGCAAATGCGGTTTTCTGTGACATTACCAATAATTTATTTATTACAAATGCAATGAAAAATCGTAAAAAAAAAAAAAAAAAACAACAGGCGAGTGCGTGTAAATCCGGGCCCTACTAATAAATAACGATCGAAGTTCATTTTCCGTTCTGCAAAACGTCCCCGTGCCCGATTCCCGTTTAACGTATTGTCAATCTTATAATTAATCCGCGGTTAACAATCAATTCGTTACACGATACCGTCGAACGACAAAATACAATAACGCCACCGTTATAATGCATTATTGTAATTATTATAATCGAGTACTTTTGCACGTGCCCGTGTTTGGTATTAGTGTGCGTATTATTATTGTGTACGCAGCGGTCGATGACACACGGTTACGATTTATTTATTATGGTGAGCCGTGTGTGGGACGTGACATGTGTGCATAATATTATTTGTGGATTATAACGCTACGAGATATTCTCTGCCGTAGGCGGTTTCAGATTGGGAAAAAAAAAAAAAATAAACGCCTATTGAAAATCGTAGTGGACCGCTATTATAAATATCATTCGGACGCGTATTACCTATCGAAAGGACGTTACGTATTTAATACGCATTTTGCCGTTCCTGTTCTACAAACGTACGACATAATAAATTTGCAATTGAACAGAATCGGTTTCGTGTCGATTAGATTTAAAATTCGTAGCACGGCATGGCATCTGTTGATTTTTGCTATGATGTGTGTGTTTCTTCAGTGGTGCCATTTTTCTACCGGAAAACTTGTACAAGTTACTTGCTAATTTATCAACTTACTTACTAACTTGATAAGGTATATTTATTCAGCCGGTGTATTGGGGTGGCCGTATTTTGATTTTCTAAAGTGTTTTCACAATAATCGGAAAAAACCCGAAAGAAAATTTTATGTCGAACGTAAAATTATTTACGGCGCGTCGCCGCGGCGTTACCGTTTTCATTGTTTTTAATTTGTTCAACTAGAAATATTGGTTTAATCAAAAAATGTCACAAGTCCTCTTTGTTGAATTTCGGATCTAAATGCTCATGAAGTAAGTCGTTTATTAATTTCTCTGGAGTTTTATTAATAATTAGGAAAAACAGGAAAAAAAAATTGACAATTTTACGGCTTACATTTTCTATCATAAATAAGTAACTATCCCCCTCCAGCGTTCGCCCGCCACTAGAGGTCATTGTTTGATTTTCAAAACATTGTAGCTAATTTTGAGCTATTTATAGACATTTTAATCCTTCGGTGTTTTTCTTTTTTACGTAATTTTTGTTCGGTAGGTATTTTGTAGATAGATTAATTGTTAGAGGTTTATTTATAATTCGTACTTTGTGGTAGCAAAAAAATATTTTCAATTATCTCTTTTCTATGATTGCATGACTTATTAGTTATCATCAATAAATAATGATTGTAAAAAACTTAATTTATAAGACACAAATTATAATATTGATACCTATTAGTTATCAAAAAGTTTTTTATACATAAAAATAATTTTTGATTATGTAACTAAGGTTTTGAATCTGAACTAAATTATTTGGAATCCAAATTTTTTACTTTATGGGCGTCTTAATATTATTATTGTTTATTTCTTTGGAAAGATAATAAGCCTCACTGAACAGGTTCGCATATTACCGTGGGCTTTCTAGTGTATATTTAATTTATGATTAAATATAATATATTATTAAACATTTATTATGCATTTTAACATAATAAATTAATGTATTATCAATATTATCATAATAGGATAGCTGTGATGAGGTAGCTCTACAAAGCAAATAGAATGTAGAAGAGAAAATTATCATTAATCGAAATGAGCTTTATTATGATTTAATAAACATGAAAAATACATAAATAATTATCAAAAATATAGTAAACAGAGTGATATAGAGATCAGGGGACTGAAATTGTTAGATAGAAATGGAACATAGTTGGGGAATGCTATAGAAGAAAAAATGTTATAAAAAATGAAAAAAAAATTTTACTATTTAAAAAAATGTAAATACATACGATAATATTTATTTATTTATTTAATAACATAACAGGTGATAACTCAAATACAGTTTATATTCGAGGGTCATCTGCTTAATGACTCCAAGCACCTTGAGCTCTCTACAGGATACACTCTTTATATGTTTATGGAAGCTCAGATTTTCAGTTAAAATGATGCCTAAGTCTTTTGGAGCTAATTGAATTTGATTTGTATAAATAAAGCGGAATAGGTTGCGATTTCGAGAGAATGACATAAACTTACATTCCGAAACATTTAGATCTAATCTCGTCGTGTTTATTCAATACACTAGAGCTAAAAGTTCATTTTGAAGAATGCAGCAGTCATCATAGGAGTTTACCACGAGAACAGTTTAATGTCATCTGCATAAAGTAAGAATTTACATTTTGTAAGGGCGGAACATATATCATTGACGAACAGTGAAAATAATAATGGGGATAGGTGTCCACCTGAAGGGACTTTCTGTAGTTTGGACCTAAATTTAAGTACTCTTACCCATTGAAAGCGTTCGGTAAGGTATGATCTAAACCACGATAACAAGGGCTCCCCAATTCCAGAGGCTTGCAAGACACAGAGAAGTATTGGGTGGCTCACGCGATCAAAAGCTTTTTTTAGGTCGAGAAAAATGACATTCACTTGGGAACGGAATCGACGTGACTGGTTATATAGTTACAGAAAACGAGAGAGTTGGTAACTGAGGAACGTGAAGGGCGAAAACCATGGTGTTCGCGCACGAGATTATTATTTATAAAAGGCTGGATATTATTTAAAACTAGGAATTCTAAAAGCTAAATAATAATTTAAATCTCAGACAGTTAGACGCATAGAGTAAAGTTAGACGTCATACAAAAAATATTAATATCAATTTTAAATGTATATATTTTCTAATAATTTCATGCTTGACTTAATTCGGTTGGTTGAAATATTTTCGGCTAAAATACGGTTCGGCTGTTTTATAACCTTCTCTCCTATATATAACTACTGTTTTTTTATAGGATTAAATGATATACAAATCGAGTAGGTATCTAAATGTTTTATAAAAATATTTCCATTTTATTGTACATGTTGAATGTTGGAATTGGGATATGGAAACACGTTAGCACATTAGACAACAAATTTTAATAATATATATATTTTTTCTTTTAGTCAAATATAGGCTAGTAAATTAGTTTTAATTTTGGCACGTACTGTTTATCACATCCATCTAGTTAAAGACTATTCCATCTTCAAAATATCAAATTGCTGATAAAGCTTGATTGATCATTTCCCTTCCAGTGGATTGGTCAGCAACTGAGTTTAGGAATATATGGTATGTAGACCTAACTCCACTTCCCGAAATGAGTCTCACGATTAAACGGCCATAGGCTGTACTGAGTACACTAGGGTTGCTACTTTAACTGTTATAGTATAGAGATTATTCATGTTTTTTGGGCAATTTGGAAAATATATGCATTACTTCGAATCACGACCAAATATAAATTTTATAGCTCGTAAAATTATGCATTCATATATATGCATATTATGTGAGAAATTAAAAAGATTATTTATACAAACCTCTTGGATTGGTTGTTTCGTCAACAGTTATGTAAATGTAATTATTTCCAATATCACTAATTATTTAAATATGTTCACTGTGGGGTCAAACTGATCGAAGAAATAGGTACTCAAGTACAGAGGAGTAAAGGCACACGAATCACTGTATTACTGTGTTGAATTTAATTACCATCGTATATATATATTGACGCTTACCACTCGCTGGGCTCTCTGACTTTCTAGAAAATTCTAGACAAATGATAAACGCCCATGATTTAAAAACGTGCGAAAATTGTGAAAAAATTGAATTGTAAAATTAAATAGGTAAAATATTTTTAGTATATATTGGCTATATGTTTAATCAGATCTGATTTATCTTTATTGCAAAAAAAAAGTGGCAATATCAATTAAATCCGGTCATTAGTAACAATAATAATCTCATTTCAGAAATACAGGTTAAACAATTGTGTTATAACAAAATACTATCTGACCCAACCAATAAGTATAATTTTTTTAGGTTGAGTGAGTCTTAGTAATACAAAATAGTAGGTAACAAAAAGAAAACTCTCAAATTTGTTAAAGATAAATAAAAATGTATATTAGGCGATAAACAATATGATAATACATTTTAAATAAGCGTTTATTAAAACTAAATACTAACAGACTTTGCAAAATTGAAAAGAAATTTTTAACGTGCATCTTAAATTTAATTAATGTTAGAAATTAATGAATATTAATATTCATACTACATACAGTATTTAGAGGTGACATCATACCAAATAATTTATTACATACAGGGAAGTTTATATTACTTTTTTCTTAATTTGGTTTCAAAATTATATACTGGTGTATTAATAAGATCTTTATATTTGTATAGTAATAAAAGTAAATGATTTCTATGAAGTTTTTCAAGAATAAAAAAAAAAAAAAAAAAAAAAAAAAAAATAAACATCTTTGTAAAACTATAAACTATATTATTTTGATCTAATGATTTAAATATAAACATCATAGAAAATGATCTAATTATAATATATAAAAAAAAAAATGTATATTATTGAATTATAATACTTAAAAGCAAAGTTTAAACTTAGTCAGTTTTGTCGATTTTCCTAACTTCATATCTAGGATATAGTTCATCTATGTATGATTTAAATATAAATATCATAGAAAATTATCTAATTATAATATATAAAAAAAAATATGTACATTATTGAATTATAGTACTTAAAAGCAAAGTTTAAACTTAGTCAGTTTTGTCCATTTTCCTAACTTCATATCTAGGATATAGTTCATCTATGTATGATTTAAATATATCATAGAAAATTATCTAATTATAATATAAAAAAAAATATGTACATTATTGAATTATAGTACTTAAAAGCAAAGT